CAGGTTATCTTTCTGATAATTTAAAACATTTAGTTGTGAGCAATGAGTAACTCATATTTTCATTGCAAAATGGATCAAAGATTGTTGTCAAAAATACCACTAATATAAAAAATAAAGTGCATATTTTTGTCAGTAAAAACATGAATTGAACAAAGATAAACCTATAAAATGAGAAATAAGAGAGTAAAAATATTAGCACAAGATACTCTGTAAATTCATACATTCACAGATGATTTATTGCATGTAATGAAGGAGTCTTATTGAGGTAGAGTGTATCATAGCAGCAGCAGTGGCAGTTACATTAATATCACAGTTTGCGGTCATGGCAGTAACATTATTCCATGACATGAGTTTAATGAGTAGTAAATATGATTTGGATCTGGTGGTGTTAACGATATGAATTTGCAAATGAACAATAAAAATGAGACCATGAACAGAATCTTGCATTTACTTTTAATGTTAAACATTTACAAAATTGTGTAAACATGTTAATGTTTCCTTCTATTAAGTATGATATTCATTTTAAATAAACAAAATCTACACTACTGTTACATTGAGACTATCCATCGTTCCATCCATTTTCTTCCGAATTATCTGGAACTGGGGTCCATGATCCCAAATCGTATTGAGACTATATGTAATATAAATACAGCAAAATCAGAAAATTATTTAAGTACACATGCTTTAAAGTAACCTTCTCAGCTTTTTTCAGTGGGTTTTAAACCTATGAAAAATGTACAACCCACACAACATTGCTCAAAACTAGTATTTAACTTTGTGTTTAGCCTGATAAGAAAAGTGACCTTTCCTCCACAAAAATGAGCCCTTCCTGAGCTTTGACTTTAGTAAACAAATGGATCAAGATCCATTGATGTCCATTGCCTACCAAAATGTAAACCCAGAATATCACCCAGCCGTGCAGCAAAAACATTACATATATGTGATTTTGCTGAACGGAGATTTCAAAAAACAAAAACTAAATACATACAATGTAAGATGCATCAAACCAAATTAAATTTCTTACAATCATACAGTACTATAAGTTACCTCATATTAAATCATACCAGTTTCAAACAAATAAAAATTATCCTTTTTTACATGTTCTCTACAAATTAACCCGTATAGTCCTAATTATGGCTTCCAAATATCTTCACAAATATTATTATAAAATATATAATTATGTAATATATTCAAATCTAATAATGTTTTTTTTATACAATTGTCTTTGTAACATTATTCACTTCAGACCAAATGCCCCTGGTAATGCTGTACAGCCCAGACATGGTGCCTTGTTTGAGGCATGAGATGTTTAGGGCCAATCACAGCAATTGCAACTAGTTTTATAAACCAGACCACCCGGACAACCTTGCACAAAAGTGTTTCCATTGACACACTGATAGAAATTACTACTATCATTGGGATTTACATAATTACCATCAGGCATTCCAACACAGGAAAATTCACCCCCAGAAGCAGTTGTGGTAGCTTTGGTAGTAGTTGTTGTAGCAGATGTTGTAGTGGTGCTGGGCTGGTTTGTGGTAACTGCTGTTGTTACTTTGGCAGTAGTTGTGGTAGCAGATGTAGTGGTGCTGGGCTGGTTTGTGGTAACTGCTGTTGTTACTTTGGCAGTAGTTGTCGTAGCAGATGTAGTGGTGCTGGGCCGGTTTGTGGTAATGGCTGGTGTTACTCTTGCAGTAGTTGTTGTTGCAGATGTTGTAGTGGTGCTGGGCTGGTTTGTGGTAACAGTTGTTGCCAGTGTTGTTGCAGGGGGTGTTGTTGTTGAATCTAGAAACAGAGATGAACTCAATGCTAAAGTAAAACAAAAGGTATCTCATGTAAGAGGACATAATGCCTCTGACTTACCTGCTACCAGAAGAGAGCGGAGATGACTAATGAGGGGATTGCTTCCCTCACCACAGGCACGTCCAGTAAAATCATCCATATCCAGAGACCAAACAAATGCCCCCCCATATTGGTTATCTTTTACATACTGTGCCTGGAAACAAAAATATTTTTACATTGCAGATTTTATTAATCTTTCTTTTTAAATACATATAAATTGAAAAGAACACAATCACTTGTCAATTTATTTTAGGTCAAGAGCAGAAGTACTATGATACTCGGATTTCTCCTATTTGGATTTGGAGGAAACCTGATGTATTGATCAGGCTGCCAGCAGCGGTTGAAGCCCTAACAAAGGCTGGGAACAAGCAAAATCAGGAGATGAACCGCATGCTGGCTGTGGTGGTTGAACTCAAAGGTGAGATGGGATAATATCTAGGATGTGCACAATTGCTTCAAGGCGGAAAAGTCCAACAAATTTGAAATATCACTCTCGCCATGTAGAGCAAGCAAGAGACATTTTCCATTAGACTCTAGGCTAATGGAAAATTCCTGGACAGCCTGCTCTCAAAGCAATAAGTGTTATTCTGGGTTCGGCCTCCTCCCCTTTATCTAATCTCTCCTGGATGTTATGGCGAAAGGGCACAGAAGAACTGCTATCCCCCTCCCCTACCCGCCAACATCTCTGGATGTGCCCAGAACTGTTGTCTCATCAAGGAAAATGGACTGTGGTCATTAATGGACATATTGAAAGCACTCATCATACACCCACAACTAATGTCTCAAATGTCAGATTGACTTCATGTGACTCCACCTCCGATGTGACCCTCTGCTGAAATGTCTGACTCGTGTTACATGTGCTTTTCTTGTGCTGAGGTGTTTTTGAAATCTTAAACTGTATCCTGTCAAGGATAAAGTGTGAAATATGCTTTTTTTCCCCCTTTCTTCCCCAATGTGGCTCCTATCTTTCCACAGAGATAAAGGCAGCTCTATAGGTAACCACATGGGACCTGGGAAACCAGGTAAGCGGTAGGAATCTAGCAAGCCATAAGAACACACCAAAGGCAGTGTTCTGTGGCATGCATGGCCTCAGTAAATCCGTTCCAATCTCAGCCCCCCCACCCCAATGTATGCAATGTATTGTGATGAACGGTTTGTACTTAAACTGATATCTAGATTGCAAAATAAATTTTAGTTGACATTAAAGATTTAAAGATTGATTGATTGATTGATTGATTGATTGATTGATTGATTGATTGATTGATTGATTGATTGATTGATTGAGAAGGCAACAGTTGGAGGCTGGGTACTTCTAATACACAGACAAAGGCCTAACTGATAGAGTTGTTAAAAAAGATTAAAAAGTGCAGTTATAAAGTAATGATTACAGTCACAAAATTCTCTATGATATAAATCAATTTAGTTCAGTTCCTTTCATATACGTATAGCACAAATTCACAACACATAATTTAAGGCAATTTCCCTAATTCAAAAGTTTTCTATCAAAGTAAAGCAGCCGATAGCATTGAATCAAACCACACTGAAGTTTTTTTTTTAAATATTCTAAATGAAAATATAAATAAGCACTAAAAGAAAGTAAAAAGTCTTATTTTGCCAGCAGATAGCTTAAACTGTGCACAGAGCCAGGGAATGGATGAACCAGGCATAAGTTGTTTTACAGTTTAGAGGCCCTTGATTGAAAGGACCTGTTCCACCTTTCTTTTAGGTGGGGTTTAGAATCTACAAGCAGCAGTGTGTGGTTAAAAACTAAAATAAATATTCAGGTCACTAAGGGCCTTGTATGTGAACACAAGAACTCTAATCCAAGTTCTAAATTCTACATTAAGTTACAAGTACAAATTGTTCTTAAAAACTTGCAGATGGAAAATTTATGATTTGTCCGGTCTGTCTAAATAATATTCTCTGGATTTGTTCAGGAGACCATGTCAGTAGCTCACTCTAGATGAATAGAGAGGCACTCTGATTACATTAAGGCACCCTGATTACTTAATATATTGCATATCTATGTTTTACACATTTTTGCTCCTATTTTTTCCATTCTTAAGCATTTTCTCTATTTACTATAACAAGGTCACTTTAACCTAGCAAAAATTGTGCATGCAAATAAAATAAAAAGTCTGTTGGCTCATAGTTTTTTTTCTATAGTGTTTGGATCAAGTCCAAATAGCTCTGTGTAGGTGCAATATAATGCTCATTTATAGCTTAATGCTGATAATAAATGCATACCAAATCACTATAATGATATGAATATGCTCCACAAATTTATATTAGAAATACATGATACACACTTTGTTTGCAATCTAGGACATGTCGAGAAAAAAAAATAATAAGAAAAAGAGCCTGCTTGAAGTCTTTTCAATTTACAATTACAATTATTTTACAGATGAAAGAAATCTTGGGCTGAATCTTGATTTGAACTACGTTTCTAAGCCCTGTTTTTCACATCATAAACATGGTGTACATGCTTTTTAATAAAAACAGTAAATAAGTTAATAGTTAATATCGTATAAATATCGTAATACCAAATTTGATCTTTACAGGTTGTGCCTTTATAGTATGATAGGTATAGTAGCTCTAATTACATTTGTAAAACAGCGCCTTCCTTCAAATTGTAATTTAATGTATATGTAAGTCCATTTTGGGGGTAATTTTATACATCTGAGCAAAACACGGATAAGGCTGTCCTATATGGTTGGCATAAGAAGGCTATAAAGGTGACTGTTAAATACCCAAAATGTCAACCACTTCCTTCTGAAAAACTCCATAGGTGAAGCATGGTTTTTATAATGCCCTCCTGTGATGCTGAGCAATCTAAACCAAATAATAAGCAATGCAGCATCAATTACCAGCAGGTCAGCAGGATCTCTGAACACACACCCCCTCCCTTCCACTGGCAATGTCCTCCAGCAGTGCCAAGGCTGCCATCCCTCCACAAATACCCACTCTGTTGTGCGATGTATATGTGATATTGTGTTAATTTTTTCCACCCTATGAATATAATCCCACTTAACCAGATTGGAATTATTCTGCAGAACCACCAGACATGTTTTTAAGTTATAATGAGTGATTCTCTGCTCCTCTGCACCCAGACAGGTTTGCATTTAAATAAAGGGATACTTATAGTTTAAGTCCAACTGAGGTTGTTTCTTGAGGTGTGCTAAATTATTGTATCAGGCTAAATACAATTGATCTTCATTATTTTGGTTTAAATTATAAAAGTTCAAACTTATTAAATGTTTTTTTTTATTTTTACTTCATTTTAAATTACCCAATTTAATTTCTTTTGGGTAAGTGCTAGTAATTTTTTATCGTTAATTGAAAAGCTATTGCAAATTTGCATGGAAGGTAAACGTTTTGTGTGAATTTTCAGACAATTTACTTTTATACATCCAGAATTATGTCTAAAACTTTTTACTTTACTTTTTTGTGTGTTGAAGGGCCTGATACGCTAGGCCCCACTTCCAATGGTAATTGCAGTGAAGCATCGTTGATGCTGTCTTGTTAATCCTCTTCTAAAGAAAAACACATTAATTTGCTTATTGGGTTTCCAATAAATGTTGTGGGCTGTGTTAGTCTGAGACTTCAGATAAAATATATTTCTCCCCTTCAAATTGGTTGGAATTTTACCTAGATATATTTTAAAAGTCTTTAAACAGACTTTTAAAATTAAAATCCATACTTCTCTGCTTACTATTCATTAAAAAAAAGAAATATGGGAGAGGCTTGGTTTGGCTGTAAAACTGGTGCCCCACTTCAAAGTCCTTTTGACCTTTATACAGCTATTCAGGATTGAAAATTCAGTTTCATGCTTCCAAACCCAATCTACCTTTTGTGGGTAATTACTGTGAGTAAAAGTTGAATCACTAACCTATTCAGTAGGTGGTCATTCTGTAAAGTAAGGGGCAATATTTGAACTATTGTAACTATAGTGCCATCTTCTGGCCAATTTTAATAACTAAATGTATGTGTGTTTAATACTCATCATCAAATGCAAATAATATTTTAATTCAAAAGGCAATCCCACATACTTTGAAGGACAGTGATGGATACATTCTTTTATAGCTTTTATTCTGTATTGGATTTCATACATTACCTTGATTTCAAAGCTCTGTTTGTTGTCAAATCCCACCCACTCATTGCCTTTGACTGCATAGGGTACCTTCTGCTCTTCAATCCAGTGTGTGGTGGCTCCATTAAGGAAAGTGCAAACCTGTAGTTATAAACCAATACTCTGAGATTTAGGCACTATCTAATGTGTTATTTTGGTTTTCAGTATTAATTATTTCTTAGCTTAAATGAATATTTTGGTTATATTTATAAAATTGTTACCTCATGATAAGCCAAAATTCCCGCTTCTTTGGTGTAGAGCCCAGCAGAGCCAGGCCCGTTGGCCGGTGCTCCAACACCAGTAGCTGCGGTTGATAAGCGAAATGTGCGCCCATATGTGGGAAAACCAACCAGCAGCTTCTCTGAAGGAGCTCCTTGGTCTCTCCAGTACTTCATGGCATAGTCCTGTGAAAAAAATTAAGTTCCCATGTCAAAACCGAAGATACGACATTGTTACCATACATATAACTTTGACAAGACTGAATCTTTTCACTTACAGTATTTAAGAAGACATGGTCACCAAACAGGCCAGCTCGGGTATACAGAGGGCTGTTGTGGCCAGTGAATGAATACCAGGCTCCATAGAAATCATAGGTCATGACGAAAATAAAATCTAGATACCTGTTAAATAGAATATTATTTAAAGGAAAAGAAATCAACATAAAATAAGATCCATATAACATTCAATATATTTTGGCAGTTAAATATCATAATTCTTTTATACAGTTTTGATCTGTTATTCTTTTTAAGATTAAATGTTGAAAAGTGTTTGTTAAAGCATGTTATTTAGTTCACTACTGTGTTTTTACTTCAAAATAAGATTTAGCTGTATAGTAACATCTCATTGACTTACTTTGTAACTTCTGCAATCTCATAGCCATTGTCAATAAAACTCTTTCCAGCCGCCACTGCAGCTGTGAGCAGCAATCTTGGCCTATTGGTATCAGCAGCCTCCTTTTCAAAGGCAGCCAGGAATTCCTAAACAGAAAAGACATATCATCTGTTTATTGGGCGTCTGAACTTACCTCTAAGAGGAAATAATATGGAGATTGACTGTTCATCAGAGTCCCTCCAAGAATATTGAAATTACATTTTTTTCCCCAATTTCTGAAGACTTGAAGGTAGCACTGACAACAAATAGTAACACTTGGGTGTAGTCGGCTCTTTCACTTCTTTTACTTAGGTAATAAAAATAATTTGAAAATGCTCCATCCTAACTGATATAGTTAGAGGTATTTTCAAAAAAATCAAAGAAGCAATATTCGCCAAAAAATTATTAGTGATAATTTTATTTTTTTTAATGCTAAAATATTGATTAACTTTACAACATCTGGGAGATTTGTACTGAGATGAGACATTAGCAGAGTGGAAATATTTCTAACCTTGCAGAGCAATGTGAACCTTTGCTTGTCCTGAGGTGGGCTTCCTCGTGATCCAGGGTACTCCCAGTCCAGATCCAGTCCATCAAAGCCATGCTGTCTCAGAAATGCTATGGTAGACTGGATGAAGACTTGACGGCTGGCTGAAGATGAGGCCATAAGGCTGAATCTGTAAATATTCACAGAAGTCAATAGCTATCAAAGATAAGATATTTATATGTTTACACATAAGAGTTTTGTAGACTTACCGTGATGTTCCAAAGCTAGCCCCACCAACAGCTAACAGAGTCTTCAGCTCTGGGTTTCTGTGAAGCGATGTAGAAACATATACATAATCTAAACCTCATCATTATACCGGCTATTTCCATACAGGATCATAGGGGAGCTGGTACAGACCTCTAGGGGTCTACATACAAAAGGCGGGAATATACTATAGACATGTCGCCAGTAGTCACAGGGCAATGCAGAGACTTAAAACCATGTACACACACACGGGGGAATTTAAAGACTAATCAACTTGACAGTCACTTTTTTAGACTTTAGGACGAAACCATGGTCACAATCAGAAAGAACCCATATATTCAAGGGAAGAGCTTTGAAACCGTTAAAAAAATGTAGTACCTGGTGATACTCTGAGCTTTAGGTTTGAATGGGATCACATTCTTAAGTCAGATGATAATACTAATATTGGTCAAAAAAAGACAATGTATAGATTCATGACTATAATAAGGAGCAGTGTAGAGCTGCCGGCTGAGGAGCCATATACTGGGAAGTATGTGTAGGTTCTCACAGAATCATTTCTGTTAATCTTTCCTGGACTTTGATTCTCCCGGATTGGTGTATCAATCTGTAGTGATATTTTTCTGATTGTAATAAAGTATTTACATGTTAAACTTTCTTTGTGCTATTAAGTATTGTTTTCTAAAAATCAAGCTCTTTTAAATTCTTGTAACAATACAAGTCAACCTTCATGCTAAGGTATGGTTTTCTTCATTAATGATTCACTGTTATACAACAGCAGTTTGAGTGATTCAAAGCTTACCTGCTCTTGACAGCATTAAAGGATTTATAGAGGTTCTCTTCATCACAATGGAAAGTAGACAGCTGGTTAGAGGAGTTGATTACTGAGAAGGCATAGATCAGATGTGTGCAGAGGTTTGGATCTATGTTGCCAGTTGTGTAATTGCCATCTCCTGTTCTATACTGGGACCAACTGGTAAAGTAGCACACCAGTTTGGTGGAGGAAACTGCAAAAAGAGAAGAAAATTGTAACATTAAGTTTGTGTTCAAACTATTCATGTGTGATTTCCAGTTACAAATTAATATAAGAGATGATACCAGCTTGAAGACATATCAGAAGTATGAATCCTGTAAAGACAAAAAAAAAGAGGATTTATTAATCTTTTTAACACTTGAAATAAATTATGATATAAAATAATTCACATACCAGCTGAGATCGTCAGATGAGCCATGTCTTGTTGGATAAAGTTTTTTCCCCAGACAAATCTGAAAATATAGCATTGGTTAATGTAACAAATTATAAATAGGATATATTGGACGCTTAAAAAGCTAAAAGTGTACCCTTTCTTAGGTGGTTTGCTGTATGCCTGGCTGCTCCAACCATTCTCTCTAATATATATGACGAGAAAGTTATTTCTTTGAATCCTCTGCAATTGGGTTGTCCCTTAACCAATCACCTTCTGCCTAAGACAGTCACCATTGTTACCATTCTAAAGATTTCAGCTAAAACACTCCCACTTTACCTCACTCTGCAAGTATCTATCATTTGCATACCATTCAGCCACTCCTCTTTAGAATTTGTGTCTAATAGTTCAACTTGTTCTCTCTGGGTACACCGGCTTCCTCGCACAGTAAAAAACATGACTATTAAGTTTAATTAGCTTCTCTACATTCTCCTTAGGCGTGAGTGTGTGCGTGAATGGTTGTTTGTCCTGTTTGTCTCTGTGTTGCCCTGCGATGGACTGGCGACCTGTCCAGACAGCTGGAGATAGGCACCAGCAACCCCCGCAACCCTGCTTAGAAGGTAGATGGAAGATGGATGGATGGATGGACAGTTGTACATAGAGGTTGTTACAATACAAAAATATCAGAAAACATGCTGTGGCCCCTTTATTCCAATAAGCAGGGTTCTTTTAAGTTAAAAACTATGAGTAATTAGAATACAAAAAAATTACATTTTGTTAAAGCAAAATGGGTAAGGGACAGTTCTATAGGAATTCTAAAGAATAAGGGACAACAACTACATAATTTAAGTGTTATTTTCCTTGCCGGCAAAACAGTAGACAACTGTATAAGTGTTAATATCCTATATGGAAGTATGCAACTTTAATGCTTACCTTAAGTGTGCTTCCATTTGTCAATCAATTTCATTTTGATACAAATTTAAAAAAATAATCATTTTATACTTTATTTGATTATGCAAACAAGGTTTCTGGTCCATGTAAATATGTACAGCAGCAGACCTGCACAATTTCTGTCTTTCTCTTAATTTTACATAATAGTTTACCTTTAGATCAATTGCACCTGTGGGGTAGGGTGTTACTGCTTCTTTTTGTTTTTATTTGATTGCTAACGTCAGTCTGCTTCCACGAGAACCTCCCATCCAGCCAGAAACTGACTCACTTAAGCTTTCCAGCTTTTACAACTTAGCTTTAAAACTCCTTCCAAATAATTTGCAAAGACTATCTCATCAACAAGGTGAACAAATCACAGCAAACAATAGACTCTAATGGCCAAGGGAAGGGCTGGTATGTCATTTATTTTCAAATCTAACTTGGAATGTTTAGGTGGATATTCCTCTTAAAAAGATAGTAGATCCCAAACTAGTTTGCTTGGTGGCAGGCCTCCAACTGAAACATAATAATCCTCGAAAGGTAACAAATTGTTTTTAAAGAAAAAATCAGAATAACAGTAGTTCCAATGACACAGATTATCAAAAATCGGCTCAGACATTCAAACAAGTAGCTTTAGTGTATTTCGTTTGAGACATATGCTGTTGCAGTTTTAAGAGGCTGCTCACGAACATAAACGTAAACGGGTACTGTAAGTGTGACATCCTCTAGTATTTCATTTTATTTTGTTTCAGAAATACAATTTTAGTACTGTTAATATTACTCTAATGTATTTATACAAAAGCTAAGGTGTGTTGCCTAACAATTACAGAGTGACGAAAATAAACAAGTAACTATATTTTGACCACAGGTTATCAGTAGCATTTAACATATAGCAGCTAATAAACCATTTGGTTTGGTGATGGTCGTCACATGCTGTCTCAGAAATGAATTGGAATTCAGCCATACTCTGCCTTTGCAGTTCTTCAGTGCTGGTTTCATTGCTTTGCTCCCCATGTGTTGTTTCTCCCAGGTGTTCTGCTGGTTTTTTGGTTTCTTTTTAGTGTTCTTGGATTTGTGCTTCTGTTGGCATGAACTTACCATTAAATCAGCAAACTCAGCTCTGCATCCTCTTCTCTGCATTTGGGTCCTAAAGCAAACCCCACCAAACCGTGACAGGCAGTAGTAGCAGTGGGATTAGATTTGAGCCAGAAGATCTTAGACCTCTGGGCGGTTGGTAAACTTATAGCAAATCTGTAATGCATTTTGGTGCTATACCATTAAGTGATCTATGGACTAACAGAAGTATATTATAATAATGTTGTTATTCTGTGTTCTCTATCAATGCTCAAGGCTGCTGTTGGATGGTTCACAGAGTAAAACAGGTTAGATATGAGATGTTTAGCACCTGGTTTCTTTAAACAGAAACCATCTTTACTGAAAAGATGTCTTTTACCCCCCAAGTATTAAAGTTGTCAATGAAGTCGCAGGTAAAGCAGCACACATGCTTTAAAAAAAAATGTAATAATCACCAGAGGTTTCAAAAGAGTGGAACAGGTCAGCTGACAAACACCTTGATTTTGCAGTCAACAACTTTATTCGGCAGATGCCGACGCATTTGTGTGGCCACTTTTGGTATAATCTTTTGCTGCTGTAACACCACAATTTCCCCAGTGTGGGACAATAAAGGGTTCTATTCTATTCTATTCTATTCTATTCTATTCTATTCTATTCTATTCTATTCTATTCTATTCTATTCTATTCTAATTGACCCTAAAAATGTGTCTGCTGTTTAAACATTAAGTGTTAAAGACTGAATTAAACCAACCTTTTAGAAATCATTTTTTTTTATTAAGTTGAAGATATTTTTTTGCTTCATACAAAGCTGATGTTAGATGTCAAATCAACACTGTTACATATAAATCACAAAGTCACAGATTAAATAATATTAGGATAGAAGTTCAGGATCCTTTAGTGAATATTCTACAGCATTTCTTCTATAATAAGTGGGGTGTTGTTGGCTTTTTAGTTTTAATAAATAAAAACAAACAAAAAAAGTACTGAACTAAAATTTGAGTGAACATTTGAGGAAAGTATTTTCATTTTCAATTTGAATGCCAGTTGTTAGGAATGAAAGTCGGAGATGAAGCTCTGATTAGATTCTTAAGAAAGAGATTATACAGTTACTCCCCTGACAGTGCAAGTGTAGTGTACGGTACAACAAATATGGAAATGGCAAGAACTCAGAATAAATAAAGTGCTTAATTTTTTAGTTACCAGAATGAAAAACTTTAACTGACCTACCCTTTTTAACTCTAGTTATGGAGGGTAGGTCAGTCCTTGTGAAGACATTAATAGAAAGCTCAGTCTTTCACTATATTTCAGCTTATGTAAAGATATGAACTATATTGTATGTACAAAGTAAAAGGTCTTTTTTTTTCAACAAATAATAAAAATATATCTACAGTAAAGATAGAAGAGCCCAAATTCTTCACGCTTTCACCAACAGATCCGTGAAGGTTGAGTCTTGTAAAGATTTAATAGCAGCTCCAACTTCAGCTGTTCCCTCCTCAGACAGAAACAGATCCTCACTCCCTAAGAAGGAACCAACAGAAGGAAGTCCAAGGGCAAAAAGCTGACACACAGAAGGAATCGGTTCTTGAGGTTAAAGTCTCATGCCAGAGAATAGATGGTTTTCATTGGTGAATGGAGTTCTAGATTTCCACCAAAGTCCAAGTCCCTCACATCTCTCCTTGTTCCGGTGTACTGGCCAATGAATGAACCATCCTCATTAAACTGAATTTCTCCTCCTTCTCCATATTCCACGAGGCTGTCGTCGCTGTCTGATCGCTTCATTATCGCATCCACAGATGGCTGAGCTCTCTGAAGCCCTCTTTCCTCCTCTCTGCCACAGAGAATAGGAAAGAAGAGCATGGGGACAAATATATTATGAGGAGTCTGCCTTATAATTACTAAAATATAGTTAAGGATGAGAATTAATGTATTACTGCTCATACCTCCGAGGATAAAGCAGAGTTGAGACACGTGCTATCCTGAAATAGGAAAAGATTTAATCAACAAAACAGTATAATTATAACAATTAAAAATAAAATGAAAAAAGAAATTTTATTTGTTCATAAAACTATTTATGCTCAAGAGTAATGTCAGTTGTATCAATAAGTTAACATTGAGTCTTTTTCATACCTTTCAAGGGATCTTGAGTGGTTCAGTGGAAAATAAAACAGAAAATTGAGATTTGGGAAAGGAAAGGTTTCAATAAAGAAAGATAAGTAAACAAAAAATAACAAACAAAACTTTTTTAGCAAAGTGTTACAAAAAATAAGATCCAAAATCTGATTTCCACAGTATCTGTGCTCATATGTGCTTAAGTATAATGAACACTGAGGACACCTTGAGAAGTTTTTACTCATTTGTAGCCAAATACAATCCAATGTGTTTAATCACAGCTTGTTTTTTCACAAGGGCACAAAGCAAAACAATCATTATTGTTATGGTAAGATTAGATTAATACTGTTAATTAACTTTTTTTTAATATATATATATATATATGTAATACTCAACACAGAAACAAATTTTTTATCATATATTAACCTTGCATAAAGAAAACAAGTAAGGGCTAGCTATCACCTGCTTACAAACTAATTCAATGTCTTTTTGTGCTCCTCAAGATTGTCTTTCATGTTTATAGCTTTATTAACTTTCTGATTTGTTCCCTACATTTTATTAGGCCATGTGAGTAAAATAATTTCTAATTTCACATCACCAATTAGACATCATAAGAATATCAAATTGAATAAAGAAAAACAAAAACATTTGGGAGTAAAGTTGACAAACTGCAAACTGGCTGTAAACTAAATATTTGGTCATTGTTAGTTGTGTCCCATTTTAAAGCTGGCAACTCAAGCCAATGCTTAGACTCCAATCAGACCTAAACCTCAATGATTTTAGACCTTATTTGGGAATTGAGTTTCATAAACAGTATTTCCATCTATCCGTCCAATTTCTATCATGCTTATCCCTGCTGGGGTCGCAAAGGGTGCTGATGCCTAAGTGGAAGTGCTCAAGACAACAAGGGGGAAATGATTATAGACTCATATGTGACTAGACACTTAAGGCCTTTCCTAATTAATGTCTACTCCCTCCCTCTTTTAATTACACACTGTGCTTGCTTTGGAGCACCCTCGGAGCTGAACAGAGTCCTCTAGATGAAACCAGAGATGCTTTTGAGATGGTGTTCCCTTGTAATACCTGGACAGGAACCTGTCATCCCCATG